CTGTGTTAGCCAAAGTCACCCAATCTAAAAAAACATTTTTCAAGTCTTATTTCACTTGTCTTATTATGTTGTTGAATACTTCCTACTTTTTAAAAATGGTCTCTTCTGTTGGTTTCTAGTGCACAGTTCTTTCCTGATTGTTCTTCTACCTGACTCGCTTTTCTGGACAAGTTCCCATGTTCCCTTGTCTTTGGTCCCATGGCCCCTTGTGCCTGATTGTGCTATAGTGCCTACCACATGGTCCTACAGCTGTTTGACTTGAGCACTCTCTCCTTGGCTTGTATGCTCCTTAAGGACAGGGTCTTATTTATGTTCTTGGTTTATGACAAGTTCAGTGTCTGGCACATCATAGGAATTCTATCACTGAATAAGTCATTGTTGAACTTTCCCTCATTTACATCTGAGATGTGTAGGTAAAATAACAACAAGGAAATTTTTCTTCACTTTTTGGTCACTGAAATTGCCACTCACCACTGTAGTTTACTCTGTAGAGGATTCAAAAGTACTCCTTATTACAGGTTCCAGCCGTTTCTTGAGGGGAAATAGGGATTTACTTCCTGAGCATCTAAAATGTGGCACTTCCTTAAGAGGAAGGTTCCATCTTAGCCACATTTCACCATCATGGGCTTATGGTTCTGACTGGATGAGCCTACAGAGAACTCCAAGGAAAAGAGGTAGTGGATAGACAACCCTTGTCACTTTACTCCATTCTCACTGTCATGCCCTAAGAGCAGTAACAACACTACTGATTAAAAACAGCATCTGGCGGGACCAGCAGATGGTTACGTTGCTGGATTCTCACATGGTCAATTGTGGCTTGAGTCCCAGACCTGGAGGCTTGAAACTCACTCCAGGTTGGGACCGCAGATGGTGTAATGGTTATGTCATTGGACTCTCATGTAGTCAACTGTGGTTTGAGTCCTGGATCCAGCAGCAACTTAAAACTCATGCTGGGGGCGGCGGCGGCAGCGGCGGGCCCTGAGTGGCCAGGGCTCTGCTCCGCGTTCCGCTGCCTCCCCGGGCTGTCGTGTGGCCTCCGGGCCTGTGTGGCCGCTGGGCCTGTGCGTGGGCCCGGGCCTGCGCGTGGCCGCCATGCATGTGCCTGCACCCAAATGAAGCCGAAAACAAGGACTAAGAACTTGCAACTATAAGCAACAGAAAGAATCTTTAGCTGTCTTAAACCAATTGAGAAATATATTGTATAGGAGGATTTTCTCTTCCTATGGACAGTGAGAAGATGATGGTTACCAGCCCTGCATTACCTCAGAGAAAAACAAGAATTACTCTACCATTCTTAAGGAAGCCAGATACCCAAGGATAACTCACGCTGCAGATCCCCACAACACCA